AGGTAAAAGTGGATGTGAATATTATTTTAGCGCAGTAAACCAGGTGTGGACAGAAGGTAGATTGTAATCTCCTGGCGGATCTCTGGATGATTTGTGGGTGTTTTAAATTCCCAGTTGTTTGGATGATAGGAGAAACAAGATGAATGAACAAGCATGAATCAAACCCTCCAGGTTTTAGTTAAGCTTTATCGTTCTAGCTCCATTGTTTTAAATGTTTTTAAGGTTTTTAAAAGTTTTACAGCTTAGGCTTATTGCTGTACCATTCTTTCCAACCAGTTGTTTAACAACGGCATCTATTTCCTTTAATTAAGAGGCTGTATACCCTGCCCTTCCAGTGTAAAGACAAGGAGCGTTAAGAAACAAGAATATGCAAAAAAATAAAAAATAAAATAAAATAAAATTAGGCTACTAGAATCCTTGATCTGTAGTAACTCAGAGGTAGATTTGGTGTAGGCCCTTCTTCATGTGCCTCTTCCACAAGTGGTCCAGAAGTTGGCAGCACAAGAACGGGCCTTTTCTGCAGTGGCTCCCCGTTTGTGGAATACTCTTCCCAGGGAGGTTTGGCTGGTGCATTCATTATATGCCTTTAGGTGCCAGGAGAAAAATGTTCCTCTTTAACCAGGCCTTTGGCCAATTGACATTTGATGCCCATTTAAAATTTGTTGTATAAGGGGGGGATTATTGAGTTGTCTTTGTCTTTGTCTTTGTTTTTATTATGTATTTTGTCTTTGTGATATTGTGGTTTTATGTTGTGAACCAGAAAAGCAATGACAAACCTAGACAGCATGTTAAAAAGCAGAGACATCACCTTGCCGACAAAGGCCCGTATAGTTTTCCCAGTAGTGATGTATGGAGGTGAGAGCTGGACCATAAAGAAGGCTGATCGCCGAAGAATTGATGCTTTTGAATTATGGTGCTGGAGGAGACTCTTGAGAGTCCCATGGACTGCAAGAAGATCAAACCTATCCATTCTGAAGGAAATCAGCCCTGAGTGCTCACTGGAAGGACAGATCCTGAAGCTGAGGCTCCAGTACTTTAGCCACCTCATGAGAAGAGAAGACTCCCTGGAAAAGACCCTGATGTTGGGAAAGATGGAGGGCACAAGGAGAAGGGGACGACAGAGGATGAGATGGTTGGACAGCGTTCTCGAAGCTACTAACATGAGTTTGACCAAGCTGCGGGAGGCAGTGGAAGACAGGAGTGCCTGGAGTGCTTTGGTCCATGGGGTCACAAAGAGTCAGACACGACTAAACGACTAAACAACAACAACAACATGTTGTGAACCGCCTTTAGATCTGTGGGAATAAGGCAGTATACAAATGCCGCTGCTTCCTTGGCGATCACTCGTAGCCGAGTAAGATTGTCTTCCATAAACACGTTTTTAACAGGGAGTCCGTAAGTGACTGTGGAGGCCAATTCTGGATCCACATGTCCTTCCACAGTGGGGACATAGGTTCCAGACAGGAGTTGATCATGGTGAGGGTTTGCCAAATGTTGTTGTTGTTGTTGTTGTTGTTGTTGTTATTCTAGAAAAAGAGGTGCCAGAACTCACCATGAACACCTCCCTCATTCTCTTAGAATGGCAATAGCACCCACCTGAGAGATGCCGGAACTGAGTTCCTGTGAGTTCCCCCTTAAAAAAAAAGCCATGATGATGATGATGAAGAACCTATTTGTGTTTGTATGGGAAGGCAGCATGTGGGGAGGGGGGCTTATCTCTTCCCTCCCCAGCATAATTATAGCATGCTTCCCCTCCACCCACACAGCTATGAAGCCTTAGGAGAAAAAAAGGTCCAGTTTAATGATAAAAAACTATATATGTCACTGTTTGCTACATATACAGCAAACATCTAGCTTGGCCCGTATCCTGTCATCTCCTGCAACCAGTCTCTGTGTGTATACACACACACACGGTTGTTCAAAAAGCAAAATCTCACCCATTTTTTCTTCTTTCCCATTTTCTTGTCCATTCCACTTTCAAACTCCCCGAGCAATAAAGTTTCCGTCAAATCTCTTGGGGATGGAAGTGGGAGAGACTATTGCATAATTTAATAGTTCTCACTGTTTTTCAAAAGACTTTTCACACCATCTTTGGCAACACATTAGTTCCACATCTAGCGCAATTGGCGGCTGCTTCAGGATGAAATGGCGAGAAGACAGAGATAAAATAGACAGAGTGAGAAGAGCAAATGGCTGCTCAGATTTGCTGCAGGCAATCTCCAGATTCGCTAGATCCTGCTCTGAAAGGTGAGGAAAACCAGAAAAAAAAATTCTCTGTCTCTCTCTTTCTCCATTTCTTCTTTATAAGATGAACTTTGGCAGTAATGAATCTTTGGCCTTGTATACTTAATGCGAGTTGACTGGGGAATATGCATAAATGATGGCTATTGTGCACATTCACCAAGAGGGTTGGAGAATGTGCACATATTAATAGGGATAGCCAACTAAGTCATACTCAGAGTAGATCTGTTGAAATCAATAGGTTTCCTTTTATTACATCAATGGACTTAAGTCAGTTTCAATGCATTTTTTCCATGTATGATTAGTGTTGGATCATTCAATATGTAACCAGTTGTTTTGGAAGAGGAAAATATTTTTTATTCATTGCACAATGTCCAAGTGGAGAATATGCACCTTGGCTGGGCAATAGGGAAAGCCACCAGCTTAAATTGAGACTGACGTCTGAGTAAGATCACTTAGTCAATGGAACTTACATGGGTAGGAGTGCACTGTACGAACAACAAACGGAAATGTCCAGTTCTAGGTTTTGCTAATGCCCCCACTCACTTTGGCTCGTTACATTAATTCCCCCCCCCATTGCAGTTAAGCGCTTGTGTGCAGACATAAATGTTACAGATTTTGGCCAATGGAACACTGTATAAAGCCAGCCAATTGTGCATGAACAGGATTGTACTGCTGGATCATGGCCAGCGAGTGGAATGATAGCAACTGGCAGGTCCGGACCAAGACATTTTACTGCCTGAGGCAAAGGACGACATGGTATACACACACACACACACACTCTCCCTATAGAAGCCAATTGGACTAGCACATGAGTAGGCAAACTACGGCTCGGGGGCCGGATCCGGCCCAATCGCCTTCTAAATCAGGCCCGCGGATGGTACAGGAATCAGCATGTTTTTACATGAATAGAATGTGTCCTTTTATTTAAAATGCATCTCTGGGTGATTTGTGGGGCATAGGAATTCGTTCATTTCCTCCTCCCGCAAAAAATATAGTCCGGCCCCCCACAAGGTCTGAGGGACAGTGGACCTGGCCCCTGATGAAAAAGTTTACTGACCCCTGGACTAGCAGTTGAATCTCACTGTTGCTGGGTGACTGTCATCCACTACACTGAGGCTAAGGGGAGAGGCTGTGAGACAACAGAAGAGAATGTCTGGGGAGCTCATTTGAAGCAGCCAGAAACTGCCTCACTTTACCTATTGGTAGGGCAGGCCCTGATAATTGCTAATGGGCCAGTGACTTGCTCCATTCTTCGCAGAATCAGAATCACAGAGTTGGAAGGGGACGCTGAGGATCATCTCGTCCAGCCGCCTGCAATGCAGGAATTTGCAGTTGTCCCATATGGGGATCAAACTTGTGACCTTGGTGTCATCAGCACCACACTCTAACCAACTGAGCTACTAGGTTCAGAAGAATGTACTGGGTCTCCATTAGTATCTTTATATTGAATGTAGTTCCCCGTCCCAGCTTCTCCCCCCCCCAAAAAAACCCACTTGGAATTTGTTGCTTGTTTCGAGGCTACTCTCTTTCCTTTCCTCTTAATAAATAAATAAACGTGAAGTAAATATAAAAAAGGGTACTTCAGATGTAAAGCCAACATTATAAATTTAATTCATGCTTATTCCTGATAGGAACACATTTATATTTCATGGTTTCTAAATTCAAAGGACTATAATATCCAGATCTGGATGGCTGCTTCCAGGGCAAAATGATAAACAACACTGTCCCTCACAGTTAGATAGCAATACTGGAGAACACTCTGTTCAGCAACAAATCAAAAGATTTATATTAAGTAGGAAAGTCATATTAATCTTGCCTAGGTAGCACTGATGTCAGAAGCTTATTTGAAATAGAAGGTGGAAACTTTAAGGTCGGAAAGAAAGGAGTTGATTACATTTCAGCCTGGGAAAGCAATAATAGCACAATGATATCAAAAGGGAAGTAAACTGTGTGCGTGGATGAGGGTGATTTAGGGTATTTCCCCGCTCCTGGGTAGAAAAGTCTACAGCTACAACAAGTGGCAGAAAATAACGAATGAGAGTTTTGTTGCTGTTGTTTTAAAATAAGATGCCCTATTTTGTCATCCAGAGCCATGTTTCCCAAACTTGGGTCTCCAGCTGCTTTCAGACTACAATTCCCATCATCACTGACTACTGGGAATGATGGGAGTTATAGTCCGAAAACAGCTGGAGACCCAAGTTTGAGAAACACCGGCATGGGCTGGATTTAGACACATCAAAGAAGCCTTTCTGTTTAAAGCACTGTAAATTTAAACAGGGAAAGCAGGTAGAGAGAAATAGGACTCCACATCGTCACCTGGTGGAACAATGTTATATCACGCACACAGTGCATATAAATCACTTTTTCCTTACCAGTCTAGCTGAGTCCAGGGATGGCAAATCTGTGGCCCTCTAGATCTTCCATCTCCCCTGATTCCTGGCCGATTTTAGTTGGACTGATGGGAATTTGAATCGAATAGCATCTGGTTCCCCACCTGGTTTAAAAATACTGAACTCAAAAGGCATCTTAGAGGGTGATTCTTAGAATTATAATGTAGCTAGAGCATATGCACCAACAGAGGTATAGTGTCCAGATAGTAATAGTACCACTCTATTCTGCCTTTTTCGAACCACACCTGGAGTCCTGTGTCCAATTCTGGGTACCAGAATTTAAGAAGGATGTTGACAAGCTGGAATGTGTGCAGAGGAGGGCAACCAAGATGATCAAGGGTCTGGAAACCAAGCCTTATGAGGAATGGTTGAAGGAGCAGGGTATGTTTAGCTTGGAAAAGAGGAGACTGAGAAGAGATATGGTAGCCATCTTCAAATATTTCAAGGGATGTCACATGGAAGATGGAGCAAGCTTGTTTTCTCCTTCTCTGGAGGGTAGGAATAGAACCAATGTCTTCAAGTTATAAGAAAGAAGATTCTGACTCAACATCAGGCAGAACCTTCTGACAGTAAGAGCTGTTTGACGGTGGAACGGACTCCCACAAGAAGTGGTGGACTCCCCTTCCTTGGAGGTTTTAAAGCAGAGGTTGGATAGCCATCTGTCATGGATGCTTTGGTTGAGATTCTTGCATTGTAAGGGGGTCGGACTAGATCACCCTCGGGATCCCTTCCTACTCTATAGTCCTAGGGTTCTGTTCCATGATAATGAAATCAACAATGATGTTCTCTTACACAGGCTCTGACTGTAGAACAGAGATGAAGAAGCTGTCTCTATTCACATGTTATGAACTACAACTCCTGCCATCTCCAGCCAACATGGCCAATGTTCAGGAATAATGGCTGCAGTCCATCCACATCTGGAGGGTCACAGATTCATTCCACCACCACCGTGTTACATTTTTGTACTGTACTGTAATTGATGGGAGACAATGGACGTCAATAGGCAGTTGGCTGCATCAATAGATATTTTGCTCCAAACATCTTTAATGTGCCTTGAGCCACATGCACCTCCCAGGTTGAAGTTAAAACCAGCTTCACTTGGTCAGGCAGAGCTACTAAGACCCTAATCCTGTTTAAGGATGACGTCTGTGTGGTTGATGGCCTCTTCTTGGTCAGGTGACTTTCAAGCATGCCACTGGCATTCCAGAATGTTGCAGATGCTTGCAGGTTGACCTAGATGACCTCAAAGCCTCTTCCAGACCTGCAGTTCTTGATTGTAAGGATATTCAATACATGCCATGCATTTTACAGGTAAAACTGGGCTACTGTTCTTATTCAAATTAAGAGAGTGTGGGAATGTTCAGAGATGCAGGAGAGGATATATTGTCTCATTATAGCCTTTCCAACTTGTGTTAACAAGTTCACAATTTAGCAGAGTAACGTTCCCCCTTTTAAACTTGCAGCGGATGCGTTTGCTCAGGCTCGCTAAAGCCTGTATAATAACTGTTCTGGTATTTTCCCCTTATTCCCTCATAAAAGATAAGACACGACACAGTCTTCTATAAAAGTATAAAAAGGTTTACTCACACATCATTCTGTTCACAATAGGATTCCAGAAGGCAGACTTAGCTTAGAAAAGTAACATATACCTAGAAACTATCTCATAAGAAGATAGTCCCTTTGTCCTCTCTTGGTTGGAAGCCAAGAGAGCATCTTTGGCTAAGCAGATGTTGCTTCTTTGATGCATGTAGTCAAAGAGAGAGAGATGGCTGCCCTGCCCTGTACTTTTGTCGTTACCTGCACAGGTGAGGCCACGGCCACCTCTAATCACATGCAGAGGAAGTCTGTCCCAGCCCGGAAGGAAACAGGAAGTTTACCTGATGGCTGGACAAACATTCCTCCCCATGTGTAAACATGTTCACTCTAGGAATGTTGTACTTGACTGCTCTTGTGTTTCACATCCCACAGAGAGAGCAGGCAGGCTTGATCAAAGCTCAGGCAGACACAAAACTCTTCCTTAACACTTTGGGCACACCCTGCCCATAATTTCCAGCAGCCGGGTTCATTTATCTGGGCGTTTGTACATTTAAATGTATGTAGCTGCCCCCAAAGAATTCTGGGAACTGCAGTATTTTAAGAGTTGCTAGGAACCCCCTATTACCCACACAGAGCTGGGAAGAGGAATTGACTTGGATTGCATGGGGTTGGACTCAATTACCTTTGAGGTTCCTCGCAATTCTACAGTCCTACGATTCTATGAGTGTTAAACCACACTGGGAATTATAGCTCTGGGAACAGTGATTTAAATGTACGTTGCAGATGTGCCCTTTCTTATCAAAGAGTCATTAGTATTGCCAATATAAGCTTTTGATATTTATAGCTCTGCTCCTGGTGTTTTATTGCGCACTTCTAAGATATAAATATTTACAGGTGGCACTAAATATACACAGTCATTAGCGATAGATCATGCGCCCACAATAAACGTGTACTTTCCAAGAAAAAAATTTGCACAGGTTCGCACTAATAGGACTTGCAAATCTGAATTCTGCACACTTTCTAATATAAGAAACTATTGCCAGACCTTCAAACGCACAGATAAATGAACCTGGCTGCTGGCAATTATGGGCAGAGTGTGGCCAAATTGTTTGTGAAGGAAGAGTTTTGTGTCTGCTTGAGCTTTAATCAAGCCTGCCTTCCACTTCAGAAATGGCTGTCTTGAGGGGGGAAAGTGGGCTTCTGGGGCTGGTGGAGAGCAATAGAAAATATACCGGTACTTTAGAAAAAGAATATGGGCATTTTTTTAAAAAAAGAGATAGCATTTTGCACTCACTCTGCACTTCCTGAACAGCAAGAAGTTCCTGGGAGATCCGTGGAGGCTTGGAGTACTTCTGCAGTATTGAATTTATTTACCAATGTGCAAGTAGAGAATCGGCGGAGACAATGGCTCTGCTAGGCTTGAGGAGGCTTTGGGACACCCTCTGAGCAGGGAGAGGTGGATTTGCCGCTTGCGATTCTCTCCGTTTCTCATTTTCCCAACCTTAAATTCAGTTCTCCCTATTTCTGCAGGAATTAAGCCCTCCCACCAACTCAAGCAAGGGCCACAAGATTGGAAATGGCGATGCAGAAGGTGGAGCCAAGGAACACATCACTTGGCTCTTGCTGGGAAAACTAAGAGCTTCTGTCCATTCCCCAAACAATCCTGTTATTTCTTTGACAGTGGAATGGTCTCCCTCGGAAGGTGGTGGACTCACTGGAGTTTTTTAAGCAGAGGTTGGACAGCCACTTGTCATGGATGCTTTAGCTGAGATTCTTGCGTTGCAGGGGGTTGGACTAGATGACCCGCAGAACTCTCCCAACTCTTCAGTTTTGTGAGTATGATTCACATGCCTGGATGCCTGGAAACACACCTAGTCAGAACACCCTAGAGCACCAATTTCCTGTCAGTCCTTTGCTCCATTAAGGAGCCATCAACCACATGCATGCTGGTGTTCGGCGTAGCATTATTTTGCTTATTCTGCCTACTCTGAAAATGCCAGATAGGACAATATGAGGCTTTGATGGGCACTAGCGGGTGGTTCGAATCCCTGCAACGGGGTGAGCTCCCATTGCTCGGTCCCAGCTCCTGCCAACCTAGCAGTTCGAAAGCATGTCAAAGTGCAAGTAGATAAATAGGTACCGCTCCAGCGGGAAGGTAAACGGCGTTTCCATGTGCTGCTCTGGTTTTGCCAGAAGCGACTTAGTCATGCTGGCCTTATGACCCGGAAGCTGTACGCCGGCTCCCTCGGCCAATAAGGCGAGATGAGTGCCACAACCCCAGAGTCGTCCACGACTGGACCTAATGGTCAGGGGTCCCTTTACCTTTACCTAGGCGTGTTATACATAGGGCTGCCTCTGAAGGTGGCTCAGAAACTTCAGCTGGTGCAGAATTCGGCAGTCAGGTTGCTCACAGAGGCAAGATAGTTTGAGCATATTACACCAATCCTGGTCCAACTGTTGTAATGTAAATCTGTTCAGCCCTGTTCAGGGAAGTTTTTAATGTGTGACATTTTAATGTATTTTTAATCTTTGTTGGAAGCTGCCCAGAGTGGCTGAAGAAACCCAGCCAGATGGGCAGGGTACAAATAAATTCTTATTCTTATTCTTATTCTTATTAATCACATTAAGATGCCTCTGCGGAAGTGATAAATACATTGAATGAATGAATGAATGAATAAATAAATAACAATAAGAATGCTTTTCTAGTTTAAAGGATAGCAACCCAACTCTAGATAAGCATGAAGGTTGATGGTTAACTGACCTGTCCAAGCAGCTTACATTTTCTTTTCTAACTTTTCAGCTTCATAGAATTCTTGTGCCACTCCGCTCCCAAATTAATTCTTTTTGCCACTTCTGGCACCCCCACACATTTATTGATCTGGGCAGATCCAGCGGTGGTCTCTTGTGCCAGTCTTCAAAATATAAATTAATTTCATTTTTTAAAATAAAGTATTTTAAGAAGGGCTCTGCTTTCGGATCACTTGCTGACTCTTGAAATTGCCTTCCATAGTAATAGATCTGCAACATGATTGAACGAGGCATTCTCCATTTCTTTCTTTCTTTTCCAGATTTTCTACAAGATGAAGTGGAAATCCAAAAGCTATTCGCAGAGATCCATCTCTGTTTTGATAACCTTGACAAATGACAGGACTTTGCCATAGCTTTACCCTAGCTGGTGTGGGTCTCAAGAACTGCGACCGCTTCCAGCTTGGAGACTGAACCACAAAATCACCGTCTTCAACTGAAATATTAAACAAACAAACAAACATGCAGACAGACAGACAGATAAACAGACAAACTAGTGGAACAGGAGCTTCTTACAAGTGTGGGGCATACCTGATTTCAAAGTTGACAATGTGACCAATGGTCAGGGATTATGGGAGCTACCGTCCAACAACATGTGGAAGCCATTATGTTGGATAATCCTTCAACATACCTTCATTTTGGCCCCATGTTCTTACCACAGGGGCAGTGCCAGATTACCAAATAGGCAGAGTAGGCACGGGCCTATGGGCTCCATGCCTTTTAGGAGCCCCACAACAATGAATCAAAACAAGATTGATTTGATCTTGCTCTTATTGGTTGGTAAAATCTAAAACGTATTAGGAGATAATTTGGGAAGCCCCCCCTCAAGATTTCAACTGCCTGGGGGCCTCCACAGGGTTTAATCCAGCACTGAACAAGGGCAGGTGGGGAACCTGAACCCCAGGACCTGAATTTGACCCTCCAGACCTCTCTGCTTGGCCTTTGGCCCTCTCTCCAGGCCGCACCTTTCACCATCCCCTCTTTGCCTCTTCCCTGAGTGTTTTTGCCTGGCTGGAATGTGCCCTTCAATTCTGATCGTGCTTTTTGCTTGCTGGATGGAGGACAGAGAGGGATGTCCTCCGTTCAACTGTAAAAAGGTAAAATTGACATCCATTGCCCCTCCTACTTTTGCCTCTGGCCCCACCCACCTCTAGAATGTGGCCCCCACAAGGCTGCCAAGAAGAGACTGTGGCCCTCAGCCTGAAAAGCTTCCCC